AAAGAAATGCACGTACAGTCCCCCTTGGTTGTTCCGCGCGGTGCATTATCCGGAGCCAACATTTTCACCCGCTTCGAAACTAAAAATCCTCTCGAGAGTATCGATAATTCGACCGTTGTATTTAATTCGACATCTGAATCCTTTGAAACACCGTTAACCGAGAACACACAGTGATTAGTTACTTGAACAGAAAAAATTGAAATGAAAAATACTTGTACAGTTTTCATGTGTCTGGAATGAAAATTGCGATGAAAGAGTAACGATAACGTTCTCAGACTTTCTATTTTGTGGAAGCCCGGCGAAAATTAAAAGCAGTTACTGGGCGGATGAAGCAGGGAGCATTTAACGGAGAGATCTTTCCGAGCACTTATCGAGAATTTACTGTAATTAAGAGATTTATCCGACTGACTTGGACCCGTATCCATCGTTTCGGGGAAATCCTGTGTAATTTTGCGTCGTGAGAATATCGCCGATTGTATATCACTCGAGGAGCACACAGGTTCTACGTGAAAATCCACGTCTTTTTTTCTCCGTCGGTTACGCAGGATGCACACGGCGAAAGTGATGCGTGTCGAAGAGTCTCGAGACAGTCGGAGTCCGACAGACCGAGCAAAAGTGCACGCGAGAGTATACTACATATGCGAGTTCGTTTTCTCGGATGGTTCACGGACACGAACCCAGAATTCATTCGCCAGGCTTGATCGCAATGCAAACGCGTACACGGCGAATATTTTCACGATAGAACGAGGAGGAGAGGGGGGGGGGGGGGCTGTGTAACACGATCTCGACGGGAAACCTTCCATATCGACAGACCAAAACGGAAGCAGGTTACGTCACGACCACCCTACGTTTTGGGTCGTGAAAATGTTCCACCCCCGAACGAAGACACTTCTTTCGGTCGATATTTCACCCGTCGGAAGATAGGTCTGATCTGTATTTATAATAGTTTTGCTAGAAAGTTCGGTTTCTCACTTTCCAACCGCTTTCTAAAAATGTGAAAAGAACAACGGGCCGAGCACCCATTCCGATTCGCGTTCTAACGGGCCCGTAATTGGCCGTCGCTAGGATAGGAAGGAGGGTGGGGGGCGCTGCGGTCGGGTCGGTGGAGTCGCCCAACTTCACCGCGAACCGTTCAAACTCCCAACGGAAAAATCGTCGGGAGTCTGTGTGTTTTCGCTGGTGGCAACGGCATAATAGAAAACTGGCTACAAACGAATGAGGGATCCAGGAAGAATTGAATCTAATTTTTTTTGTTCCTATAGACTTCTGTCCGTCCCATTATTCGAGAGGGCTGTAATTTTTGCTGTGTTATCGTCGCGCACCGCGGCGGACAGACATAAAGAGCCGTCCGCCCCTTTGATAGTTTTAAATGCTCGGGTTAAAGGCTAAGAGTCTCCCGGCGGCCTACAAAAGGTCGTTACCACTTAAACGGTGTCTCGTACACACGATACGTATTGTAAAGAGACACGAACGCGGGGGGAAGAGGGACATAAATGTGTGTGTCTGTACGGTGAGCGAGAACGCGAGCCTTCGTTGTGTCGCCGTCGTCGTCGGTTCAGGAGGTACGTTTCGAATTATTAGAACACGACACCTGAAGTGGCGCGGCGGCAACAGCGACGATGTGGCATAATATTTGCGTCGCGTAAGCCGTAAGGTCGCGCGCAAATGCGTTTCCTCCTACCCGCTCGCGCGACGACGACGACGAACGGTCGTTGCACGTTGTTCCCACGCACACACACGCGGCGCGGCGGCAGCGGCGAACGCGAAGCGATCGTCGCACGAAATCGCGCGTACGACCGCGTAGTATGGCCGTTACGACATGGCTGTAAATTGTAAGAATTGGGCCACCGCCGCGTCGTACACACGTTACGCGTGGTCGCGTGCAAGTATGTACGTGGCCAGCGCACGCACGCTGTCGCGCAGCGCGACTGCCATTTTTTTTCCTTCGCGTCGGCACAAGAACGCAGGCGCAATTATTGCTAACGCGGATGTCTGGTCGCGTTTCGCGAGGCCTTGGCCGGTTTCCCTTTCGGTGTTGCGAATCGGCACTGTTCGAATACCACGAGTAGTTCCACTTCCCCCGAGCGAGGGACTCGACTCGCGTGTCGTTCGCTCTTACCGACCCGAGGTAAATTAGTACCTGGTCGATCATGCACCAAGAGTGCAATTCTCATGTACCGACGGATCGGTAATGATGTGGCCTACCATTATCGACCGAGAATCTCCGACAATGGCAAAAGTTTTTGGTAACAATACGCGGTCGATAATGTAGAACATACGAACCACTTTATCTATGTACGATAAACTGTGTGCACGTTAGAAATGTAACCTATTCGAAAAGAACAGGAATGGAAAGTATGTCCTACCTTTGCTGGTTTCAGGCTGAATGTTTTCCGTTTTAATTTCCGCCCTCGTTGCGTAGGAAATAGAGGATGGAGACGCTTGCGACGAAGGGGCTGCTAATTTTTCTACGGCAACATATGATCGTACATGATTTACGTGTTACATATTTAGATATTGATCTAGTTGTAATACTCACCTGCTAACAAGGGATTGGCGGCGGCGATATTGTACCTTTGCCGCCTACAGGAGGAGGTTACGGAAGAAGTGGTAGACGTGGGCTGACTGGCTTCCGCCAAATCGGCTTGCAGTTCCCTCAGGAACGTGTCCAACGTGTCAAAGGGTTCCTCCCCTGTGACACCGGCCATTCCTTCGCCCTCTTCTGCCGGCATGTTCGGAGCACCCGGCGTTCCCACCAGGGCGCTTAATTCCATCGGGGAAAATTCTACCGACTGCCCTGTGCTGCTTTCCTAGTAGAATAGGAAACTCGTGTTACGGACCGTGTTGTGTTTCTACTAACGTTTTCCGTGCTGTCATTTCTTCGAACGCACGAATCGTGCACGCAAGCTTAGTTGTACCAACCTGAAGACACTGCGTCAAGTCGACCATCTTGCCGTCATTGTCAGGGCACCAAAGTAGCTCGTCGTCTATGAAGGGCATGTTTGACTCCTCCTTGGGCACGAGGGTGGAGCTTAGCGTAAGGGTTTGCGATACGGGGACCGGCATCGGGACCCGTACCCTGCGGCGGGGCCTCTCTAGCCACCCCCGCGCTTTCTAACATCCAAAACCACCTCCGAAACGTCCCCACTTTTCGTCTTCTTCCTTTTTCTCCGCAGACCTGTCTCTCTCTGTTCGGTTCTATGCGTTACTCAAGGTTCCCTGAAACAAACAAACATAGACTTTGTTTTTATATACATAAAATTCCGTTCAACTGAAAACATAATCACACATTTGAAAGAAAAAGAAAAAAGAAAACGAGAGTTACTTTCTCCGGTAGCACGGAACGCGTCGGTTTTCGAGCCATGGATTCCTCGAACGCCCGTCACGATCGATTGGTCGGTGATCATCGATAGGTACCGAGAAACGAGCCCGATTTCGTTTAATTACGACGCGGCGAATCGTGGGCCCGATCGTTCGACTTGGCGATGCAAAACGACACGATCCCCGACGATATCGGACGTTGATTCGCCTAAGTATAGCGTGTAACGGAGGAACGACAGGCAACGCTGGCATTTCCATGAAAGTGAAAACACCGAGTGAAAACTTTCTTTCTGGCTCGTAGGTTGTTTCACTTCCTGTGCGCGTAACCTCACTCTCCTGCCGCCGCTGCATTTCTATGCAGCTTCTACGCGCCGCTGTCTTTACGTAATCTCCTCAGCCGCGAAAGAAAGTTTCTATCGTTCCGAGGAGGTTAACATCCTCTATCCCCCACCGATTCGAATATCAGCTAGCTGGTCGAATGTAATTCGGAGCAACGCTGCTCCACAAGCAGAGAATGATTCTTCGATAATTCAAGCATTGTCACTTGTGCGTTCAATCATTCGCAATGCCACCCAATCAATCGTACTGTTAGGACACGACCAATGATCGTGTGCAATTTAAGTTTGATCGATTCATCGACGATGAACGTTACAGGTTTCGATTCACGGTGTCGACAACGAACGAGTTAACTGTGAAGTACGCGTGGTTTCAGAGCGATGCCACGAAATTGCAATTGCGCGCCAAAAGCTGGAACACGGTTAGTTCTGACATGGCAGACGACGATAGCACCACGTCCGACGAGAGCTTGGACGCGAAGAGTGAAAAATTCGATCCGATGAAAGCTTTGTATTCGACGAAGGTGCCGCTCTCGAAAAAGAAGGCCCCGTTATACGATAATATCTCAAAGTTCGAAGCCGTAATTTCGGGTTTATCCGGACAATCCAAAGTGCGTATTTGCCACGGGGACCGGTGTTGTTCCCTCGTGCTACATGTATTTAACCGAGATACTCTCTGTTCCCGTTTCTTTCGTTATTTCAGAAGAAAAGTACGACGAGCAACGTAGAACAAGGGGAATCCTCGAGGCGTCGATTTTTGCCTCATCAAGGTAAGGACACGATTAGGATTACGGATACGTTCGACATGTCACTTTTGGTCTCGTTGTTACTGCTACGGAAAAAGTGAGGTTATTTTACCCGAGTCGATGGGAACCTTCGGATGCTCGACGAGAGATGGCGACCCCATGAAACCCTCCCGCGCTGCCGGGAGGTCACGGTTTCATTCATGATAACTCGCACGTGGTGTCAAATTTCAATGCGCTTACGGTAGCTAACTATACGAACCGAGTAGTAACACATACACACACATACTAGGAATCAGAATGGAGAGACTGCGCGAGCCCTAGGGTGGTCCCCCATTCATCCAGGCGAAGAAAAAAAAGCCCCGACGAGTTTTTAGGTAACAAAAACATTTGCCTATCGCTTCTCAATGTCTCATTGAGCAAGCCTAGAGTTTCCGCAAAGCCGTAGAGCGCAGCGGTTCTCAAACTGCTTCGCTCATCGACCTCGCTCATAAATTTCAACTTATCGATTCATACATTTATCGTACCGGTATTCATTTGATCATGGTTATTCATTTTTATACAGGCAGTGGTTAAACAATTCAGAACAAAATTCCTCGGACAACTGAATTCTATTTTTCACCTCTCACGGTGCATTCCATAGGAATCCTATATGGAATTGTCCGGTAAAAATAGAGTCGCAACGATAACATGGAATCGTATCGTTGACCGTTTCCTCCTGTTACCTCGACATGGTGATTTTCACATAAACGCAAACCAAGAAGAAAAAAGTAAGTCAACTGTCCGTGATGAAACACGGTTCATTCGGTTGACCCGATGCGGTGCCCCGAATGATTTCTCGAGTGACTGCGCGTGTACACGCGACCTCAATGAAATCGGCTGCAGTCGAACGAGTGGCCTGGTGTCGAAGGTAGACCGCTCCGTATTCGCGAGATTCTCTCGAATGAATCACCTCGATCGCGTACTTTTTGTTCCAGTCGCCCCTCTCCCCTCGCGAGCGCTAATAGCGCGAACAAACGCGTAGTCGCCCGGTCGACTCTATATATCCTAGATATTGGCACACTTTATTTACGATCCGACCAGATACCACGAAGGTCGTCGTAGTCGTGCCCTCGCTGGGGCCGTTCTGCAGCGCACACACGCGTTTATTCGCGCTCGCGCGCGCACACAGTCCCCCGTGGAATTTAACCTCCGCGAAAGTGCGTCAACTCGTGGAAGACCCCGCGGTCGCGCGCACGCACGTTTCTATTCATTGTTTCCTTCTTCTTCGCCGTTGTTCCTCCTCTTTTTATCGCGTGCCCCCGCGTCAGTGCCGCGGATGATATCTAATGTCGCCGTGGCGTTCGCCGAGACCTTCCCTGCGGCGCGCAACGGCCGGCGTTGTGTAAACATCGTGGAATCCACGACGGCCAGAAGGTCTACCGAAATGTTTCGCAATCGCGGAAGCCTTCGAGCTACGAATCCGTACACAGGGTTATGCCGATACGACGTCACTTTTCGCTCTCTTATCTTCCTACCTGTTCGTAGAAACAAATCGCTCTATTCCAAGAGGCGTCCCGTGGACGGGGGAGCAACGTTTGGCTGCGTCTGGTACCAAGGGATTTCACACGCTCCAGCATCGATAGATGATAATCGTTATACGAAGGAAGACGTTCGTTTTCTGGAAAACGGACGGGGATCAAAAGATATAACCAGAATGGCTACCGATTCGATGCAGGATCTGCTGTAGACAATTTCCACGCAGATTGGCTATGGATTTGGTCACGATATCTGCTGTCAATCTGCACGCAAATAGTTATCTGGGATGATCGATCCCAAAGAGACTAATATCTACAAACCAGAGAGAAGGATCATCGACGAAACGACGGCCGATTTTATCGGACCGATTGAATGGCTGGTCCCGTCTCGGTCGTTCTACTCCTGGACGAAACTTGACCGAAGCCGCTTGTTGCTTAACCGTGATTCTGACACGGTGCCAACATTCGGGGTTCGCTTAGATTTTCAGTGAAAGTGGCGCGCCCCGGTGTACCGAGCGCGGCTGAACGACCGGGTGTATATGCGGTCAAGATTTCGGCGGCGGGGATGGTCAACTCGGTGTCGCGCGCACGCACAGCAGCGAAAGAGGCTACATACAGAGAGACTGAGTGTGAGTGAGGACGAAGTAGAAACAGGAGGGAAAACGATGGAAAGAAAGGAGGAGAGGGAAGAAGAACGGAGGGGTTGGTCGCACAGAATGACGTGTGTGCATTACACACACACACACAGGCACACACATACAGACACCCCAACAACGGTAGGGACAGGAGCTTGCGCTGCTTCGTTCCCTTCGTGTGTTCCACCGGATACCCCGGGGGTATGTATCTATTGGCCGGCAGCCAATTACACGAGGCAGCCGATAAATCACGGATCCCTGACCCAGTGCAGTTTTATATTTACAGGCGACGCTGGTGCGCGCGAAACATCGAGTGGGAGAGAGAGAAAGAGAGAAAAAGAGGGGTGTCGAGAGAGGAAGGAGGTGTGTGCACGGGCGCGTGTGCTTGTGCCACTCGTCGCCACCGCCACCGCTGAGCATTCGTCGTCTCTCTTTTATACGTCCATCTCTGTCTTTCTCTGGTCGGTGGAGTGTATGTGTGTAGGGCTCTCTGGTGCGCCACCGCGGCGATCCTCTCTCGCGCGACATCGTGTGGAAAGCCGCCTAGCAGAGTGAAAGAGAAAGAAGAGAGTCCAGATAGAGGAGTGAAGGAGCGTGTGGAGGGACGAGCAGAAAGTAGGGAGGAGGAGGGCTTCTTTCAAAGGGGGTGGAGCGAGGGGCTCGCGCCTGCTGGGACTGTATGAGTGTGTGAGAAACAGAGAGAGAGAGAGGGGGGGGGTGTAGCGGTGTATATGTACGTAATGCAGCACTTGTTGCGCCCGGGCGTCGACCTCGGACTCAACCCGAGGCTCCGTGCGCCGGACTGACCGTCTTCTAGACCGAAAATTTTGCACCGTGGTGCCCCAGCAACGATCCACCGTTCGACACATCGCGTAACCTCGACGAGGTCCTTCAACATCCCGTTCGCAGGATCCCTCCAGAAGTGGACCAGAGGACCCCGAGAGGTTTGCCCTCGTTTTGGGGATCATCGTTTTAACCCACCCGGTGAACCCCACCAAGAATTACCCCGATAGTCGATTATTATTAGCTATGATCATAGGGAAAAAAATGGGGACGCCGCCGCTGCGCCAGTTTTATCCGGAAAACGTTCCGGTGGCACTGTTCAGAGTCGTCTCGGGGCCAGAAACGATATCGGGAAGAGGATCGCGGGGCGCAGCCGAGAAGTCGCAGCACCAGCAGCAGCACTTGTTGCGTCCGGACGTCGACCTCGAGCGGGGCTCTCCTCAGCATCGTTCCGGCCTCTTCGAACACGTTTCGCCGGAACTCTTGATTTTCACGATCGGCCAACAGACTCACCTCGAAACCGCGATCGCAATCGTTGTTTAACCCTTTGGCTTATGATTCCATTCGCGTGACAACACAGCGCTCGTGCCACTTTACTCGACGATTGTTCCGTTCGCTCGGATGGACCGATATCGGGCCATACGCTTGGAAATGAAAAACAACGAGCCGGACACGTGTTTCTTGTGTTCGGCTCGGATAAAGCCGGATTCACACCAGCGGTTAAATGTACGGTGAGATCACACGATCGATCTGAATTTTTAGACTGCTAAACATTAAAAATGTTACACCTGGGGACGTTTCCTTGTCAGTGCCGAGGAGCCTTCGAAATCTCACCGAAGATTACACGTCTTTCCCATATTTTTGTCCGTAAAACCTATCACGAGCCTCGCACGATATTATAAGATCAAAGGGTTAACGCCGTTTGATTAGCCCCAGAACCCCTCCTGCCCCACCATTTTTTTCGTTACGTGGAACCCTTTCGGGGATATCTGAGAATCTATCGAGAATTTCCTCGTTGGAACAACAATAAGAACTGTTCGTAGAGCGCAAAATCAGACGATTTTTCCCTGACCTAGCCCAACGTGTACGTATTCATTCTCCTCGATAACGACATGCCGCGAAACGGGGTTAGGGAACGATACAGTGAAGACGATCTCTGACGGCGTCGCAACGCCTTCTGGGCGCCTCCTCCTTCGCGGACGGAAAGTTCTAAGCTCGCGGATGATCCCTGAGCGTTCCTACAAGGAACGCCTGCGGCGGTGCCACGAGAGCATGCCGCACCGTTTCGTTGGGTGGCAGAAACGCGATACAAAGGCGGCGTGCAACAGCAGAGCACCGAGTCCGCCGGCAGTCGTTCGCCCCGAGTAACGGAATACACGTCGTGTGTGTGCGCCTGCCGGCCGATGTTTTTCCCTTTGATTCTCGTGCTGTCCCAGCGGATATTTATTGCGCGTGGGTCGACGTTGGGGCCTCTCCCCGTTGGTTCCGTGGTTCGGCCCAGAGTTGGGCACAATTTTGTTGGAATAATGCATAGTGAAAAGCAGTCTACGGGCATCATCGTTAGATTCAAACAATTAATTAGATCGAATAATCTAATAAATTTTATGATACGAAAAAAATGGAATTTCCACGTATAAACGATTAAAAATGACGGGGGTAGTTTTTTTTAAGTTTAGTTCGTGAGTCTCATTATCTGATCTAGATTTCATCCCCTTTTATCTAGACAATGAATTTTCCTATCTCTGGTTCAGCCACATACTTCGCGATCCAGCTTGGATGGAGCACACTATGAGAACGTTTTTCGAGATCCAAATTGCAAAATCTGCTATTCGTCCAGAACTCTTGTCCATAGAACGCAGACCGTCTACTGTCGTCCGATCTCGCGATCAGTCATTGTAGGTACTTGGTGGTCATTACTACAGCTGGTCCACCAAGATAGCTTGAGAAACCAGCACGAAATTCTTGTTACAGTATTGTTACATAACCAACGTAGACACCTACTGACTTTGGTTCACATTTTTGTCATTCATTTTTTTAAAAGTATTCCATTCGATTCCCCGTTTCGGGGAATCCAACAAGTATATCCCTGGAA